AAAAAAAAATCATCCATAACGGTTTTTTAAAATTAATTACCTTCACGAGAGGTAACTTGATAATGGCTTATTTTGGTAAGCTTTAGAGAAAGAAATGCATTAAACATTAAGTACTCATCTTGGTGGATTTTTCACAGACTGAACACATCGTGTAACCATTACCCAATCAGGAAACAACTTTACCAGCACCCCTGCAGCACTCACTTGCAATAGCATGAATTAATTTTGCCTGGTTGTGAATCTGATATAAGCATGGTCATGTAGTATGTACTCTTCTGTATTCTTTTGCTCAGTATTATGTTTGAGAGATTTATCTGTGTGGGTGTCTGTAGTTCCTTGCTGTATTCCATTGTGTTAATTTCATTGTGTGAATGTACCACAGTATATCTGTTATGTTATTGATGGGCATAAATATTGTTTTTTTACTCCCTGGATCTGTTTTGATGCTTTCTAATATAAATATGGTATTTTAGCTAGTTAAGCCTGTTCTTGGAACATTTGTTTTCCTCTTAAGTGAATTGTCTTGTATAAAAGCTAGAAAACCTTTTCTTAATCCACATTCTCAGAGTGTTCTTATTACTCTTTATAGGACCCACAGTTTGTTTTTCCTTTGAAGTTTGAGGTCTTGAATCATGCCAAGGAAATCTAGTTGCTATCCCCTTTGCTGTCTGTCAGTCAGAAACTTGCCTTAGGGTAGCTGTTACAGAACAATCTTCCAGTTTTATGGTTATCCCAGAACTCGGCTGTCATTCTGGTTTACAGTGGAGAGAAAAAATACAATCAGAAGCCTTTAGGGATTTGTTAGATATTTGGGATGGGCTTGGTATTTGAACTCTACCTCTCAAATGGGGGTGGCTCACAGTTAGTGTGGGCAAGTACTGAGGAACAGATTTCATTGAGGGTCTAAAAGAAATCATGTGCTACTTAGATGTGTGTACCTGAGTTGTTTCAGAGCTTCTGACAGTATATACTAATGTTTGTTCATTTCCCACTGTAGCTGTTTGAGTGGAATGTCATGGCCAGCTCCTCGGACAGTGAAGATGACAGTTTCATGGCTGTGGACCAAGAAGAAGCTATGCTGGAAGGGACAATGGAGCAGGATGAGGAGCCCCACCCAGCGCTGGAAGCTGAGGAGACGAGACATAACAGGTCCATGTCTGAACTGCCAGAAGAGGTTTTGGAGTATATCCTCTCCTTTCTTTCACCATACCAGGAGCATAAAACTGCAGCCCTTGTCTGCAAACAGTGGTATCGACTTATCAAAGGTACTGTGGACAGTGGAAAGGCTTATTTAAAATCTGTTTTAATGATTTATTTTTGAACTCCCAGTTTCATTTTCCCCTTTCTCCCTTAAATGTATTATGGTTCTAAAATTTAGTGTGAGACAATTAACTCTGTACGTTTTCCTTTTGTCTTAATCCTGGTTAGTTTTATGAACAGCTTGAATTTTGTGATATTTAATCCAACTTGCAGTTTTAAAATGAAGATTCTTTTTCTGCATATTCTTAGAGTTGATCTGGTAAATTGTATTCTTGAACTGGAGAAGTAGGAATGGATATGGAGTAACGGTATAATGAACGTTAATATACCTCTTAGTGTTGTCGGGCAGTGTAGTGACTGCTTTCCTGTCCTCACAGCAGACTCTGGATTAGGTGAAGAAACAGAGTGTGAGGCATAGTTAAGTAATTTACCCAAGGTCACACAGATAGTCAATGGGGGATCAAAGGTACACATTCAGGCAGTCTGGCTTTAGAGTCCATGTTCTTTATGAGGATATCATTTTGTTTCTTAAAGTAGCTAATTGTGGCAAATGTGGGATTGTGCAAGCATTTACTGCTTAATTTTCTCTCAAGGAGTACAGGCCGTGTGTATATCTTCTACATTTAAAAATGAGTTTCTCCTGTTTTTCCATCATTTCTAATCAAGATTTCAACTTTGGCTAACTGTTGTAGTTACTAAGTGTGCTGTATTTTTAATTAATAGATAGTTAATTGGCTTCATTACTTTTTTTTTAAAGATTTATTTATTTATTAGAGAGAGAGAGAGTGGAGGGGAGGGGAGGGGCAGAGAGAGTCCTAAGCAGACTCCACCCTGATGCAAGGCTTGATCCCACGAAGCCAAGATCATGACCTGAGCCGAAACCAAGAGTCGGACACTCAGCCGGCCGTGCCACCAAGGTGCCCCTTGGCTTCATTACATTTTAAGTGGAAAGGGCCCATTTTTTAAATGAAGATGATCAGGCCAGTTGAATAATCTTTGATCAAAGCAAGGGTTGTATCAATTTGTTCTTTCCTGGTGGGAACAGAGTTAGGACAGAAAAACCTTTAGATCAGACTGAGTCTTAAAATCTTTTCAAGGTGGTTCTCGTGAGGCATGGGGTCATTGTCAATTGCTCAGACTCCAGCCTGAAGACTGAGGACCAGCTGTGTTGAAACTGCTTGCTGGGCCCTGTTACTGTGAGGTCATTTGCTTACAACTGGTAATACTGGTGTGCCAACAGCCTGCTTCTATTGCAGACTTTTTTTTTTTTTTAAGATTTTATTTATTTATTTTGACAGAGAGAGAGCACAAGCAGGGGGAACAGGAGAGGGAGAAGCAGGCTCCCCACTGAGCAGGGAGCCCGATGTGGGGCTCGATCCCAGGACCCTGGGATCATGACCTGAGCTGAAGGCAGACGCTTAACGACTGAGCCACCCAGGGGCCCCACTATTTGCAGACTTAATGGACTCTCCAGGAGAGACTGGCTGCCTACCCTGTGGAAGTAGATGATTTCATCTCTAAAATAGACGTGGAAGAATCACAGATGAGGGACTGTGATCAAATCAAATATATGAATTTATTCTTAGTTTTATTTGGCATTCTTACTATTTTGATATATATGTATTTTTTAAGGGAGAAGAGCCCTAACCTAGTACTCACAGTCTTAAATCTTCTGGGGCAAGGAAGTCACTGCCAAGACATTTTCCCCCCTGTCCTTTTCTGTCATTAAGTATCTGTCTTTTATTCCTTGCTGCCTTACCTCATTTCAGTGTTTTTAAATCTGTGTTACTTTCTTCATCAACGTATAGTTGGCAGTGCTGTCACACACTGAGTGGCTGTGTCTTTTTTATTTAATTCTTTTTTTTTTAAAGATTTTATTTATTTATTTGACAGAGAGAGACACAGCGAGAGAGGGAATACAAGCAGGGGGAGTGGGAGAGGGAGAAGCAGGCTTCCTGCTGAGCAGGGAGCCCGAAGTGGGGCTTGATCCCTGGATGCTGGGATCATGACCTGAGCTGAAGGCAGATGCTTAATGGCTGAGCCACCCAGGCGCCCCTTAATATTTAATCCTTAATTGTGAGTTCAGCCAAGAGATAGTGATTGTCTTTGGAAAACATGTATAAGTACTCTGATCCCATTTAAGGATCCACTAATGTGATATGAATTAAAAAATGATATGTTCAAAAAAAATTTTTTTTAAATGATATGTTCTTTCAAAGTGTAACATAATTTGTTATTCTCTTCATTCAAAATGTTGCTCTTTGAAATAAGATAATCATTTCTTGAGTTAAAAAGATAGATTGTTCCAGAAACATGAAGCTCTCACTTAAAAAAAAAAATAGACTGTATTTTTTGGAGTGGTTTTAGGTTCACAGCAAAATTGAGCAGAAAGTTCAGTGATTTCCCATATACCCCCTGTCCTCCCCAAATCCACAGCCTCTCCTACTATCAACATTCCCCACCAGAGTGGTCCGTTTGTTATAGTTGATGAACCTCATGGACATAACATCACCCAAAGTCCATAGTTTGCATTAGGGTGCACATTCTGTGGGTTTGAACAAATGTATAATGACACGTATCCACCATTATAGTAAAAGCTCTCACCTTTAAAAACAGCTTTCCTTAGTTGTAAATTCATCATTTCATAATTCACTGTAAGCTAATTATCATCTCTTTGTTTAAGATGGAATATGCTTGGTTGCCATGGTTTAACTAAACATAGATATTTATGAATGCCTGTAATTTATATTCCAGACAGTTTTACCATGTTCTTTCTCACAAAGCTAAATTATTCCCCAGCCCCTTTGCTTTGGAGTAAATAATACCAGTTGTTTTATTTTATACTATTTTTATTTATTTATTTATTTTTTTAAGTAAACTCTACGCCCATTATAGGACGCAAACGCACAACCCCAAGATCAGGAGTCGCATGCCCTACTGCCTGAGCCAGATGCCCCTACCAATTATTTTAATGTGTTGCCTCATCATATGATGTAAAGGGGAGCACAGTTACAGTGCGAGCTAATTTTGTAACCTTGAGCTTTGTAACATTTAACCTCCCTAAACCCTGGTAAAGTAGAAGGATTGGATCTTCTAGTTTTGAAATTCTGTTCTCTTTCTTTGAATGAAAAATCAGAGAAATTTGGAGTTCCACTAAGAAACTTAGGTCTTATGAAAGTGATAAGACAGTTAATAGATGCAGTTTTGTTTTTCTTTTTAAGATTTTATTTATTTGACAGAGAGAGACACAGCAAGAGAGGGAACAGAAGCAGGGGGAGTGGGAGAGGGAGAAGCAGGCTTCCCGCAGAGCAGGGAGCCCGATGCGGGGCTCGATCCCAGGACCCTGGGATCATGACCTGAGTCGAAGGCAGACGCTTAACGACTGAGCCACCCAGGCGCCCCAGTAGATGCAGTTTTAATAATTTGATTGAAAAGTGAAGTATCCAGGCTGAGGCCTTTGTTATTTTTATCTTTAGGTGTAGCCCACCAGTGTTATCATGGTTTCATAAAGGCTGTCCAGGAAGGACACATTCAGTGGGAGAGTCGGACGTACCCTTACCCTGGAACCCCGATCACTCAGCGGTTCTCACACAGTAAGTATTCACCGTGAGAGCAGAGGCCACCCTGCCTGTGGTCGTATTTCTAAAAATTACTTTGGAACATGTATTTTGTTTGACTTTTTAATGACGAGAATGCGAAATGAGGATTTACATTAATTTTATAATTAGAATCGGAAGAGTGTGAGCCTAGGTGCAGTGTAGGCACCTTGGTATAATTTTATATTTGGATTTTTCTAGTATCTGCTCCAAAGAGGTCAAGGTATTATCTTAGACTTGAACATCTGACATCATGTCAGAGGAAGACAAAGGAAAGGAGTGCACGAGGGTATTTCTGAGATCCTACTTCTGGAGTAGTCAGAGTTTAGCAGTAAGTCTTAGGATAATTCTTTATTTTAACATAGTGTATGTTTAGAAAATACTGATTTTGACTGGAGTCACACAAAAATTTTGAACATGAAGGGTATTAACTATAAAATACAAATTTAAATAGTAAAATTATAAATGCTCTGGCAATTTAGATGTAATTTAGAGTTTTAAAAATTATTCTAGAATTAACTCTCCATTTTAATTGATTTTTGTAGACACCATTTTATTCTATTAGTGATTCATACCTTCATCAGAATGAGATGTGGTATATCTTAGGTCAGTAAAGGTATATTATTAATAGTTCTGCATAAAGAAAGGTCATTGGAGGGGGGCTCTTAGAAAGTTTCTCATAATTACAGCTTTAATTATATTACTTCCCTGTTCAGAAACCTTCAGTGCCTGTCCTTTGCTTACAAGATAAAAGCTAAACTTAGTGTTACATTCAGAGCCTTCTTTAATTTGATCTGTGTCCAGATTTACTACTTCATCTCCCAGCTTTTCCCAGGAGCTCTCCTCTTTCAGGCTGTCACTTTGCCATACTGGTTTCTTCCTTGCTTCAGTATTCCCATCCACTTAGCTGAAGCCTGCCTTTCCTTGAAGACTCAGCTGAAGTTCTAGTTCCTTCATGAAACCTCTCAGCTCTTTAGCTCATAGAAAAGTTTTTCCTGTTCTAAGCCTATGTTTGTTTGTTTTTTTTAAAGATTTTATTTATTTATTTTGACAGAGAGAGAGAGACACAGCAAGAGAGGAAACACAAGCAGGGGGAGTGGGAGAGGGAGAAGCAGGCTTCCCGCTGAGCAGTGAGCCTGATGTGGGGCTCGATCCCAGGACCCTGGGACCATGACCTGAGCCGAAGGCAGACGCTTAACGACTGAGCCACCCAGGCGCCCTTAAGCCTATGTTTTTGTCTGGAATACTAATTTTGATACTCTTTGATACTAATACTAATTTTGAACTCTTTTTTTTTTAAGTTTTTAATTTTAATTCCAGTAGTTAGTTTCAGGTGTCCAGTGTAGTTATTCCACGATTCTGTAAATCACCCAGTGCTTATCATGATAAGTGAATATATTTTGAACTCTTGAGGGGAAGGAGAGTGTATTGGTTATTCTTGTTGCATAAAAATTAACCCCAAAACTTAGCAGCTTAAAACAACATTTCTTATCTTACAGAGTTCCTGAGGGTCAGGAATTCGGAGTGCTTTAGCTGGGAGGTTCTGGCTCGGGGTCTCTGATGAGGTTGCAATCAATCAGTCTGTCAGCCAGGGCTGTAGTCACCTGAAGGCTTGACTGGGGCCCAGGGAATCTGCTGCCAACCCCACTCAAGTAACTGTTGACAGGAGGCTTCCGTTCTTTAGGACTTGGACCTCTGCATAGAGCTGCTAATTACTTGGTAGCTGGCTTCCACAGAATGAATGAACTGAGAGAGAGAGAGACAGACACCAAGACAGAAGCCATGGTGTCTTTTCCAGCCTCTCTCTCAAGTGAATACCGACTTTTCTGCTTGGTTCTATTGGTCACACAGAGATTGACCAGCAGTGTAAATACCAGGAAGTGAGGACCATCGGAGGCCATCTTGGAGGCTGGCTGCCCCAGACCATATGTTGTACTCCTATCCAGAGGAGAGTTCAGTCCATAATTATAATTTATTGTTCTCTTTGAACCGGGTCTAAATAGATCAAAGGAACAGGCCACACTATTCCTGTGTTTTCAGTTCTCTTGAGGAGCTGTTTTTACTTGTCCTGTTATAAACCCCCTAAGACAGTGGATCTCAAAGTGTGATTCCTGGACTTCTGGGGAGGAGGGCATCGGTGAGACCCTTTCAGAGGTCTGTGAAGTCAGAACTGGTTTTATTTTAATACCCCTGCCTTGAGTCTTACACAGGCTGCAGCAGTTTCACCTAGCATTGCTTTTGCACCATCAGTGCAAACGTCAACATAGTGAAAAGGGCCATTAACAGCCACTACTGAAAAAAATACCCCAAACCCAGACTGGTACAACTAGTACTACTAGTACTACTAGTACTACTATTACCACCATCACTACCACCTCCTCCTCCTCCTCCTCTTCTCCCCCTCCTCCTCCTCAATATTATTACCTCAGACATAGTTTTGAAAGGGTCTTGAATGTTTTCAGAAGTACAGACTGTAAATGAATTCTTGCCAAGAATAATGAAATCACAGAAGAATCCATGTTAGGTCCAGTATTTATTGTTGAGGGGGAGTTAACTTCAGTTACTTACAGATATTTGGAATAACAAGTGGAGACGGGGTTTCCAAAGACTGTTTTCAGATTGTTTTTTGAAACAAGTAGCTTTAGAACCCTAGGTGAGGGAAATCTGGGGAAAGTAGAAACCAAACTGGCAAGTATGCAGAGGTGAATAATTATCACAGTAACAGTTCAGCTTTCTAATGAGAGAAGAAAAAAATGTTTTTCCCTTAACAGCTTTGGAAAGAGTATCACCACAAAATAGAGTTATTTGAAGGGGAAATGGAGAGGAAAAGTACAGTGAGTAAGCTCACAGAAATTCAGAGGTTGGTGGGTTTCGATATGTGTTTTTACCTTAAAATTTTTTCATATCTTCACTTGAAAGGCAAGAAAAGGTGCCATAGATTTTTTAAAAAGGGGTCTATGTCTGGGCGCCTGGGTGGCTCAGTCGTTAAGCGTCTGCCTTTGGCTCAGGTCATGATCCCAGGGTCCTGGGATTGAGCCCCGCATCGGGATCCCTGCTCCACGGGAAGCCTGCTTCTCCCTCTCCCACTCCCCTTGCTTGTGTTCCCTCTCTCGCTGTGTCTCTCTCTGTCAAATAAATAAAATCTTTAAAAAAGGGGGGGGTGTCTGTGTCTCATTTCCTCTCAGCCCATCTCTCATTGTTCCCTTCCTCTCTGCATGCTAACTGGCAGACTGAAGGAAGACTGTTACACGGAATTGGCCTTTTTTAGAATAGGTTGAAAACCAGGAATTCCTTCAGTGTCTTTCCTTAGCTCCTTTCTCTTCCTACTGTGTGTGTCTCCCCAGAGCCCAATTTTATTTCTTATTCCTGACTCACATTGAGCTCAAGGTCTGCATTTCCAGCTCTTTGCTCATATTGCCCCAGAGATACACAGATGTTTCCTATCTTGCCAGCTATTGGTGGTATTTGGTAGTTGCCCCCAGATGTTCTGCTTTCCATAATTTAGTTAATGGCATTATCATTCTTTCAGTTACACAGGCTTGAATTCTTGGATTTATCCTCAGTTCTTCTCTTTCCTTCAACAACAAAAGTCAAATCTTGTTGATTCCGTCCATTTCTGCATTCTCTATCTTTCCTTATTTTTCCCATTACTCACATTTATGAGCTAATTGTCCATCTTTCCTAAATTTTTTCTAAATGGTCTTCTTTTTCTCTCTCTTCATCTAAACCTGAACTAGACACTGTTGGCACCCATCTCTGAAACTGAGGACAGTGCCACCTCGTAGGGCATTTGGATATGTAAGGTCATTCATTGCTCATTTGCTTGACTGGAAAGCACTGCATGCATTTAGTAGGCAAGGGCCAGGACTGTTCGCTGTCCTGCAGTGAATGGGATGCTCCTACACAAAGAGAATGGACCTGCCTAAAATGACAGGAGCCTATGTCTGGAACCGCGGCAAGTCTGTAACCTCAAACCAGTCTTGTCACTCCTCTGCCAAAAAACCGCGGTCTTTCCACACTGCATGCAGAATTTTCCCCTCCCTCTGACTTTCAAGGCCCCAGCATACTCTTTCAGCTTGAATCTCTGCTGCATCCTCACATAGCTAGGCTCCACCCACATGAGACTCCTTGTTATGTCTTAAAACTTCCTTACTTTTTTTTTTTTAATTTTTAAAAAATTTTAGGGGCGCCTGGGTAGCTTAGTCGTTAAGCATCTGTCTTTGGTTAAGGTCATGATCCCAGGGTCCTGAGATCAAGCCCCGCATTGGTCTCCCTGCTCAGTGGGAAGCCTGCTTCTCCCTCTCCCACTCCCCCTGCTTGTGTTCCCTGTCTTGCTGTGTCTCTTTCTATCAAATAAATAAATAAATCTTTATTTAAAAAAGATCTTATTTATTTGACCGAGAGAGAGAGAGAGAGAGTACAAGCAGGGGGAGTGGGAGGGAGAGGAAGCAGGCTCCCCCTGGAGCAGAGAGCCCGACGTGGGGCTTGATCCCAGGACCCTGGGATCATGACCTGAGCCAAAGGCAGATCTTAACTGACTGAGCCACTCAGGCGCCCCTAAACTTCCGTACTTCATGGCCTTGCTTGGATGCCCCTATTGCCTTCTTCCTTTCCCTCCCATTCCTTTTTCGTCCATGGACTTGTTTGTCCCTTGTTAATGGACTGAAAGTGTTCCGAAAATGTTCCATCCTCTAACACCCATCTCAGAGATACAGCCAAAAGCCACGTTCTTCATAAACTCCTCTCAGATTTTCTGCCATGGAGATTAAACTCTTTTCTTCCTCTCCTTGTACACCCCTAAAACACTCTTCTTATCTTTCTTGTACTGTTTATTACCATCTGTCTGTCGCCATAATTGTCTTTCAACGAGGCTGAATATGAAAGCACTTTAAACTTGAGAAGCAAGTTCCTTGGCTCTTCTTTTTTTATTTTTATTTCACAAATTTTTTAAAAAAGATTTCATTTATTTGACAGAGAGAGGGAGGGAGCACAAGCAGGCGGAGCTGCAGGCAGAGGGAGAAGCAGACTCCCTGCTGAGCAAAGAGCCCAATGCAGGATTCGATCCCAGGAGCCCAGGATCATGACCTGAGCCGAAGGCAGACGTTCAACCAACTGAGCCACCTAGGCGCCCCTTTAACAATTTTTTTATTTTTAAGTAATTTCTACACCCCAGCATAGGGCTTCAACTCATGATCAAGAGTCACGTGCTCCGCCGACTGAGCCAGCCAGGCGCCCCTCCTTGGTTCTTCTAACCCAGTGTTCTCATCTGTAAAAAGTGTATAACAAATTCTGTTTATGCCACAGGGTTGCTAGGAAATTTAATCAAGGAAACACTTGTAAAAATATATTTTAAACTGCAAAGTGATAGGGTGATGAAGATGTCTCACCCACAAGTGGTTGTCTACTGGAGGACAAGCAGGTTCCAAGTCTTAGACATCCATGTACCTTTCACAACACTTGGTTTGTAGTTGAAATCTATTGAATTCTGTGAAATTAAGTATCACAAAGATGGAGCAGTACAGCTTCTTTCCGGTGTAGAAGCTTGGGACAAAAATGAAGCCAGTTTTCCTAGTTTTTTGGCGGGTGTGTGCATGACCAGTTATGAAGCCAGATTGATGTAGGGCTCTGTTAGAGCCCCCGGCATCAAGCTTTTAGTGTTTAGGTCTAGGCTGCACATAGGGTCAGGTCATTTCCTACCCATGCTAGGAGTGCTCCTGCAGTAGCTAGCAGGCCCAAACTGGATAACCAGCCTTGCTTGTTCCATAGTTACGTAATTACAGGCCTTATCAAATCTGTCCTGGCTTGTAGACGTGAGACACACGACAGCATAGTCTTTTTAAGCATGGGATGAATGCCTCAGGACCTTTCCCTGGAAACAAGTGGAAAACAAAAGAGAATTTAACGTTTGAATGAGCAAAGGTTGGAGTTCAGTGAACATTTCCTGAGTGACTCCCAGGCATCATGGGAAATATGAAACAACTGGGAGACCTTGCCCTAGAGAGGATTATCCTACAGTAGGCAGGTGTTCAGGATGCTGAAGAACTGCTTGCTTGCTGGGTGTTAATGTGAATATTTGACTTGCCTTTGAGTAGGGATTATTAGATACTAACTGGAAATAGATGTCTTGCAATAGTTGTTCATGGAGCCATCAAACCATTTCAGAAAATTTGAAGAGATTTAGCAATTAGAATAAACATTCTTAACGTTACTTCTTAGCAGAATATTCATCCTGTACTGTGAACTATATCTTTTGTATGGCATATTCCAGTGGTCTAGATGTTCTGAAAAGAAAATGTGCTGTTTGGGTGGAGAACGTTGGTAAAAGGGAAATGACTACTTGAGCACTGGCATTTGCTTAAATTCTTAGTTTTTTCTAAAAGGCCCATTGAACTTGTTGGGTCTCCCCACCCCCACCCATACCAACATGTAGGTGTCTTAAACAAAAATAGACAATAAACAAAAGTTTAATAGGATGCTTAAAATATTTGAGTGTATTATTATGATGGCTATTTTCTCATTCCATTATATCTGAGTTCTAAACATAGCTGCTTGAATTGACTCCCTTCCTCTCCAAGCTTCGTTGCTAATTAACTGATAGGCATTGAGAATACAGTGTGTGTGAAACTTGTCATTTCAGTCCTGCTAGTTTTGCAGAGTTTGGGCTGTGCCTTCCTCTTCTAGAAACCTTTGTTTGCTCAAAGAGAAGCAGGAAAATACCGATTGCCTTATTTTAGTATAGGATTAAAATACATGTGGCAAGGACCTCATGGGGCCCAGCTGTTGGCTGGGTTTTCAATACAAATAGAGAAGAAGAATGTTTGCTACCTCTTTGAAAAATAAAGGCACTGTGCTCTTTTGCTGTATGAAGGAAACAGCTGCCAAGATTTGATCTTTGAAGAATGGTGAGACATAAATGAGGCCTTGACTCTCTTAGTTATGGATTTGTCTTATTAAACATTCTTATAATGGGCACAAATTAAGGCTTCATAAGCCATAGGACACTGCTTATTTCTGTTCCGTAAGTATGGGTTACCAAGAGGAAAAGAATGTTCTTTCATGCCTGGCACCAGTTGGTTCAGTTCAGAATTTCAGTCCCATTTGTTGGAGTGGCTACTTGAAGACAGATATGAGAAGACCCAAATATTGAAGCTCAGCTGCTTTAGTGGAGATTGAAATGTGGTTCCAGCAGTTATGCTTTTTGTTTGTCTAATGTCAGCTAAATTCTGTCCTTTGTTATTTGCAGTTCTTTTTTTTTTTTTTAATTGTTATTTGCAGTTCTTAACATTCTGAAATACAAGCAGTGGAGTTTCATAGGATTTTACTTCTTGGTGGGGCAGGGTTACTTCTTAATAGACTTTCTTGTTGGGGTATGGATTTTAAAACTGATATAGATTAGAAGTTATTTTCAAAGGCAAAGAAAATTAGTGGAAAATGCAAGATCACTTAAATCTTCATATACCATTGTGTAGTGTGTTTGTTAAATTTGAAAAGTCTGCACCTCCATTATCGTACAGTGTCAGAGGTCAGATGATTTGATCTCTGCCTTCCACTGGCTGAGATGACCAAGTGTAAGTGACGGAACACACTGCTTGTAGTTCCTCATAACTCCTGCAGTTTTCTGATGCGGCCTTCCTGGTGTAGAGATTCCTTAAAGGGCCTGTGAGATGGGCTGGGTTAAGAAAAGAAAAGGAGAGGGCGCCTGGGTGGCTCAGTTGGTTAAGGGACTGCCTTCGGCTCAGGTCATGATCCTGGAGTCCCGGGATCGAGTCCCGCATCGGGCTCCCTGCTCGGCGGGGGGCCTGCTTCTCCCTCTGACCCTCCCCCCTCTCATGTGGTCTCTCTCTCTCATTCTCTCTCACAAATAAATAAATAAAATCTTAAAAAAAAAAAAAAAGGAGAGTCATTCGCAGAGCTAGTGCATATCACAGAGGTAATGATAGCAATGGCACTTCCCTTTTTCTGACCGTGAGTAAGTGGTGGCAGAGTTCAGAAGGTCTCTTACAAACAGAGGTGTGCTAAACTGCACTAGACCCACAAATAAGCTGGCCAATCACTGAAACCATGCTCTAGTGGATTGAATCTTCAAGTTTCTTTTCCCTTTCCCCTGCCTCATATGGGACACTTACTCTTCCAGCCTAGTTTCACATGAACATTGAGAGGTCTTTTTTGCCCCACCAGTATGCATGAAATGAATGGAAAGGAAAGTTTTGCTCGTGCTCTTCCTGCGATCCAAGATAGTAAATGCAAGACTGTAAGGAGTGGGGTCATCTTTTCCAAAGGATAGGGACTAAATGAGCTTTTTAGTGCGAAGCAAGGTGGCAGCGCCTCTCATCTAAACTCTGGCTCTGGTCCTCCTGGTTTTGGGGGAACAGCCCAGCCCTTCTTACAGTCCTTGCCCTTTTGCTTTGGAATGGTGCCCATCAGTGAGGCATGTATAATCATCTGATTGAAAAGCCTCTTCTGAGAGACCTTGGTGCTTTTTAAATGTTACTGAACTGGTTTTCCATTCAGCACCAACCAGCCTGTGTTGGTGGATTTTGGACGCACCTAGGGGCTTAATGACTTCTGTGCTTTTCTCTCAGTTGCTTTGGAACCGTACTACTTTGAGATTCCCCGAGCTACACTGATCTTTATGTGTCATTACTTCATGGCATTGATTAAAAATGTTTTGTAGTCATTTTCTTCGTATAAAGATGTGCTTCAGGTTTCATTTGAAAGCAAAAACGATAAGAGGAGGGCTGCAGGAGAGAAGCGGGAGGACTGAGTGCATCTGTTAGCACTGACTCCGCCTAGCCCTAGAGCATAATGATGCAGATTTAGATTAATTATGCAGCTGTTCTGAAATTTTACTCATTAAGCACCCTTAATCTGAATTCTTGTGTGCTCTTGCTGGAATGATACTGTCTTATTTAATGATGACATTGTCAATTTGCTTAGTGTGCTCAGAAATAACATTTCCAGGGGCGGCCGGGTAGCTCAGTTGGTTAAGCTTCTGCCTTTGGCTCAGATCATGATCCCGGGGTCCTGGGATCGAGCCCCGCCTCAGGCTCCCTGCTCAGCTGGGAGCCTGCTTCTCCCTCTCCCTCTGCCACTACCCCCATTTGTGCTCTCTCTCTCTGTCAGGTGAATAAATAAAATCTTAAAGAGTAACGTGATATTAACCAATCTGAAGACAAGGGCTGGTTATAGAAAGATGGTACCTGGCAACAGAGTTGCAAAACGTGTGAAATAATTGATCTTTGAAAGATATGAGCTATAATTATGGTGTTAGAGGGACTTCAAAATTAAACATCAGCTATGCACTTACTGTTTTCTTTCTAGGTGCATGCTATTACGATGCTAATCAGTCTATGTATGTGTTTGGAGGCTGTACCCAGAGCAGCTGCAATGCTGCCTTCAATGACCTCTGGAGACTTGACCTAAATAGCAAAGAGTGGATCCGACCTTTGGCTTCAGGTAAGAAATAAAATGCTGATCTTTGCCCTCTTACCAGGTAACTCCCTTTGCATGGTAATTCTATCCGGCTGTTTTGGTGTTGGTCTCTGGTACTGGGGCCCCAGGCCCTTTGTCAAATCTGCTGTGTAAATGCCAAAAGTAATGTGTTTGTATAAGGTCTTTGAAAAAAAAAACACTTTATCCTGACTCTTGGTGCCCTGCCAGAATTGCTGTACTACTGTGTGAATTCACCTGTGTGGTTTTCTCAAGTGCTTGCACTGGTGTGACACGCTTTCTGGTATGAAGTTGAAGTAAGAGCAGAAACACAGCATTGTGAGAACTATAGTTGACTGACAGAGCTGTTGTCCCAGGGCTAAGATCTCTGAATGAGCATCTTTTGTTGTCTCCAGCTCAGATATTTGGGGAGTGTATGGAACATGCCTCTACCGGTTACTCTTAACTCAGGAGTGTGGGAAGATTCTCGATAGGTGCATTCCTGCACAGTCCCACTATGCCACAATTTTAGCAAAAAGAAACTGTTTTCTCCTTTTTGACCTAACCTTTCTTGGGGCGGGTGGGGGATTTGTTTTGGCACTCTTGAGGCAGGACAATTTGAAAAGGCATAACCATAAGATTGAAGGAGCTGGTGTGATGGAGAAATAGAGTCTACTGAGCATAAAGTACTCTACTAGATTTGTTGGCAAGCTTTTCCCAGACATTCATTTGGTTTTTCAAGGTCAAGAATTCACACTAGGACTAAGGAAACTGAGGTTTTCCTTGAGTAGATGCTTTACTTATTTAGGTCTTGATTTACTACTTTGATTACTAGATGGGGAGTGACTTGGTATAGTAGAAAGGGCCCTGAGTTTCATTTCCTGGCATAATAGCCAGTTCTCCATATATCTGTGAACAGGTGACTGCATCTCTCTGGGACAAATATGGAGTAGGACTAGATGATTCTATTTTCCAGTGAGTTGGGAAGGCTAGTTTATGCTTCCCTTTTTTTGTGTAATGACTGCTATGAATATCTAGGCCAGGGACTTAAAACCGTTTTGTGAGATGAAGCTGTATTTTGCTCCCCCAAAGCTGTAAGCTCCTATTCCTTCCCCTGCAGTAAGCAAACATAGGAGGCAGGAGCCTACTGATAGCAGGTACTCACAGGTGGGGTTGGGGTTTGCATAGATGAAATTCTTTATTAAAATCATTAAAAAGATGACCAAGTGTTAATCTTTTAAAAATTTTGGAAGTTGGTACTATTTTAGGGCCCTCAGAATTGTGTACTTTGGAGAGTTTCCTTTTCTGTCCCTTTGTCCCCTGTTGCACTTTGTGCAATACTGATTAATATTTGGAAATGTAGACTATCTCTTCAGCTTAAGCATCCTGTTGCCACTGTACTTGGTGTCCAGGTCCCATTTCAGAGCAGCTTTGATTATTCCAATCACAAAATACTAATACTCTTTCTCTATTTTGTAACCAAGCTTTATGCCTTTGATAATTTGAACTAAGCACTGCTCTTTCTTCTAGAAGTGAAGCTCTGGACTGTGGGACCTTCATAACCCATTGCTAACTACTGTGCTTATTTTCCCTTATTTCTCCCTGTAAGGTAGACATGGGACTTCTTTTTTTTAAACCACTAAGACTGTGTTTTGAAGTATCAGAGAAATAACTGACTTTAAAAATACAATGTCAGGGGCTCTGGGTGGCTCTGTTGGTTAAGTATCCAGCTCTTGTGGTTTTGTCTGAGGTCATGATCTCACAGTCATGGGATTGAGCCCCATATCAGGCTCCGTGCTCGGTGGGGAATCTGCTTGAGATTCTGTCTCTCCCATTCCCTCTCCCCCACTCTTGTGCACCCGCATGCGCACGCTCTCTCTCTCAAATAAAAATCTTTCAAAAAAATAAAATAAAAAATAAAAATACAAAGTTAGACTATTTCCTTTTATAAAACATAGAAACTCCTCAAGGCTTAATTTTCTAACAAAGCGTCTCGAAGAATCTGCTGGCCACTTCACTCTAATCTACAATTAAAGCCTAGCTTTAAAGGGGGAAAAACAGCTATTTGAAATGTCTACTTTTTAAACAAACAAACAAGCACTAGCTTTTAATAAAGAATGCTATGAGGGGTGCCTGAGTGGCTCAGTCGTTAAGCGTCTGCCTTCGGCTCAGGTTATGGTCCCAGGGTCTTGGGATCGAGTCCCGCATCAGGCTCCCTCTCGGCCGGGAGCCTGCTTCTCCCTCTCCCCCTGCTTGTGTTCCCCCTCTCGCTGTGTCTCTCTCTGTCAAAAAATAAATAAAATCTTAAAAAAAAAACAACTATGAGATTCTCCTTCAGGCAGAAATCCCATGGGAAGATTGCCTGAGGAAATATTTCTGTCTGCTGTCATGAGTCCCAACCAAAATTACTTTGTAACAAACATCAGTGAGTCTTTCTGAACAAAACACAGTTGTTGATGTGCCTTGGTGTGCCTGACGCACCCATTTTAGTGCTTGGAGGTGGGTAGGTTGGAAGGTGGCTGAAGCCTCCGGAGGGTGCCTGCCACCCTTTGGTGTCAGCTGTGAAGTCTTCTCACATGTGAGCATTTGTCAGCAGTAAGTTTTCAAAGCAATAGCCTAAACAGGGTTCAGTCTTTGGGAAAGTGTAGTGGTACGAAGAAGAGCATCAGACAAGCAGGAGGGGGCAGTTTCATTTGGAGTGGAGAGTCTTTCTGGAGAGTGCTGCTGCATCAGGTGTCTTTTTCCTTGTTTATTTGCTGATAGTGCAGGTGAGACTGGAGCCTTCTCATTTTGAGTGGTGTCCTAACCCACTCAGGCTGCCATAGCAAAGTAACATGGACTAGGGGCTTAAACAACACTTTATTTCTCATGGTTCTGGAGGCTGGGAGTCCAAAGTCACAGTGCTGGTGAGGGCTGTCTTACTGGCTTTCAGGCAGCTGCCTTCTTGCTCTGTCCTCACCTGGCAGAGGTAGAGTTCTGGTGTCTCATCCTCTTTTTATAAGAGCACTAGTCCCATTATAAAGGCCTCAACCTTATAACTTCATTAAATCTGATTCTCTCCCAAAGGTTCCATCTCCAAAGGCCATCACATTGGTGTTAGGGCTTCAACATACGAATTTTGATAGGACACAATTCAGTCCATAGCCATTGGAATTAATGTGACTTGCCCCTGAAACCTTGTTAGTTCGTTTTGAAATGATGTAAGTGCTCCATCTGGAGGGAGCATGGTAGTGACCAGTGTTAGAATGACAGCTCTCATGGCTGAGTGAGACCTTGGGAGGCCTGGCTGGCTCAGTCGGTAGAACATGTGACTCTTGATCTCAGGGTTGTGAGTTCTAGCCCCACATTGGGTGTGGAGCCTACTTAACAAACAAACAAACAAACGGGCGCCTGGGTGGCTCAGTCGGTTGGGCGTCTGCCTTTGGCTCAGGTCATGATCCCAGGGTCCTCGGATCGAACCCCGTGTCAGGCTCCGGGTCAGCGGGGAGCCTGCTTTTCCCTCTCCTCCCTGCTTTCGCTATCTCTCTCTCTCTCAAATAAAATCTTAAAAAACACACACACACACACAAAACAGCTGAGTGAGACTTACTACAGCTACACCTACCTACAGCTGCTGCTTCTCAGGCATTTCCAGTGAGGTACCTCCTCCTCCCTTTACAGCTAATATTGTAGCCCCTCCTCTCATGAAGCTTATATTGTATTGGGGGAGAAACAAAAACAAAGTATGAAGAAAACAAGGAATGAGATAGAATAAGAGGGGAAGAGCTACTTTAAACAGGAGGCAACATTCTTTGCTGAGATTTGAAGGATGAAGAGAGAGTGAGACCAGCATGTGCAAAGACCCTGGGACAGCAAAGAATAGGACATATTGGAGGACCTGAAAGCAGACCTTTGTGGATGTAGCGTGATGAGCAAGGAGTAGAGTGGTGGAGATGGAGTTGAGATTAGACAGGAGGCAATTCATTCCCACCCCAAGGTCTGGGAGATTTTGAAATTTTAAGCAGAGGAATATTATCCAATTTACATTTTAAAGAACACTTTTGCTGCCATTTAGGAAATGGATTGAAGAAGTCACAAGAACAAAACAGAGACCGGCTAGGAGGCCATCACAGTTGGTATGGGTGAGAAGAGGTGATGACTTGGACTAGAGTCCTAGTGGTAGAGAGAAAGGGAAGCATATGAATTTGAGCTGAAATTTTATAATAAAGTCAACAGGACTTCTTGGTGGATTGGCTCTGCGAGGGTGAGAGGGTTAGTCAAGGCTGACTTAGGTTTCAGGTTTGGCAGCTAGGTAGATAGTGGGCCCATTTGCTAAAATGGAGAATAAATATTTGGAAGAAGTTTAAGTTTTGATTTTTTTATACATTTAAGGGGTGGTATCCCATAATTAGTTGTTGTGAGAGTTTGACATTTAAAATAGAGTGCCTGCCTTCCCTTAAATGACGCCATAACCCTTCCTTTTGTTTGGTTAATTCTACTCTCATCCTTCATTTGTTCTGACAGCAAATATTTATGGATTTCCTACTCTGTGTCTGGTATTGTTTCAGATGTTAGGGATACATGAATGAATAAAACAGACAAAAATCCCACTCGTAATGGAGATCAAATCCAAATGAGGGAAGACAGATATTTAAAATGACAAATAATGTTGGGCACCTGGGTGGCTCAGTCGGTTGAGTGTCTGACTTTGGTTTGGGTCATGATCTTGGGGACCTGGGATTGAGCCCCATGTTGGGCTCTGTGCTCAGCGGGGAGGCTGCTTGTCCCTCTCCCACTGCCCCTCCCCCGCTTACCCTTGTGCACAGTCTATCTCAAATAAATAAAATCTTTTAAAAAAATAATAAATGACAATATAATATAATATGTTAGAAGATGATTAAGCTACTGAAGTGAAATGATAGCATGGTTAAGGGGGTCAGGGATAGGGGGACTACAGCTGGGATGACTAGGGTAGACCTCACGGAGGAGGCAGCATTAGATCAAAGACTTGATTGGGTAAAAGAAGTGAACCAAATGAATATCTAAGG